AGGGCTACCTGTGGTTTTCCACCATAATAATATTTTGTATCAATATTTATGGCCGTCTTAATAATAAAAATAGACATTTAGTTAGTTAGTAAAAATTTAAAAAACAGTTACACTGAAATGTCACAATAATAATATTTCTTATTTGTTTAATATTTAACAATAATAATAATCATAATTACAACAACAAAAAAACGACAATAATAAAAATAAGATTGTTTTTATTAAAGGGGTCATATGATGTTGCTAAAAATAACATTATTTTGTGTATTTGGTGTAATGAAATGTGTTTATGCGGTTTAATGTTAAAAAAACACATTATTTTCCACATACTGTACATTATTGTTTCTCCTCTACGCCCCGCCTTTCTGAAACACGTCAATTTTTACAAAGCTCATCGGTCTGAAAAGCGAGGTGTGCTCTGATTGGCCAGCTATCCAGTGCGCTGTGATTGGCCGAATACCTCAAGCGTGTGACGGAAATGTTATAACCCTTACCATATTGTGATGCCCTGCCCGGCCGGAGAGACGAGACAAAAACATTAAAACCCATTATAAACGAGGCATTTGTTGCATCCAGTGGGGACATAATTACGGATTATAATGACTTATACTGTCGCTTGTAACACTCCAAAGAGAAAGGAAAAATTGAAATCGCATCATATGACCCCTTTAATGCTAAAAATAGACATTTAGTTAGTTAGTAAAAATGTAAAAACCAGTTACACTGAAGTGTCACAATAATAATATTTCTTATTTATTTAATATTTAACAATAATAATAATCATAATTACAACAATAATAAGATTGTTGTTGTTTTTATTAATATTATTATTATTATTGCAAAATTAATATTATAGTTGTTTTCTTAATAATTTTCTATTTGTTTAGTGTTTCTATATTATTATTATTATTATTATTTTACAGCATTAAATTATCTTCTTCTCGCATTTATTTGCAGTTGTACTGGTGAATCCAGATCTCAAAAAGAGATCGCAGCAATTCACCCAAGCACCTTATGAAGGATATGTTCAGTGCCCATGAGTGTGATCTTTTGCACTTCACTAGCTGACTTATTATTATTATTATTATTATATTATTATTATTATATAAAATTGCTCTTTTTTTTGGCCAAATTGTGCAGCCCTACAAGCAAAACAAAACAAAACAAAACACATTTTAAATCACATTTAAAAAAAAAAATACAATTACAATTATAATTTTTCCCAAATCAAAACAAAAAAAAAAAAGTCAAACTCAAACTATATTTATAAACAATTCCTGTCCAAATGTGTCACAGTGTCTGGTTGTGGTGCACTGGACTGGCCACTTCAGGGCACTCTCCCATTTCAGTGTTACATGTTTTGAACTCCATTTCCCATAGTCCCTTGCCTGTCGTTTCTGTTCTGATCATGATCACCTGTTAGTCATTTACTCATCATCCCATCACTACATATACCATGCTCACTCTGTCTGTCTTTGCTGCAGTATTATTCGATTCTGATGTTTGTGTGGTTACATCGTGTTTTTTGTTCCCTATGTTTTTGGATTACCTTTTGCAACGTTTTTGTTCTGTTCTGTTTATTTGTACTTTAATAAACTGCACTTGGCTCTAACCTTGTTTTCTCCTGGCATTCCGTGACAGAATACTGAAGCCAGTACAAGATCCAGCAGTTTGTTTTGCTTTTGCTTTCATTTGGACAATGGACATTCGGATTACCCCTCCTGCCACAGGGAAGGAGCGAGTGGCTCGACACCAGGCTCTGATGGCTCTGAGGCAGCAGGGAATGGAGGTTGTTGGTTATTTGGGCGGCGTTATGCAAATCTTCCCACATCATGACGTAGACATGTGGGGGCGTGTTAGAATGAGCCGTTTTAGGTAGGCGTGGTTGACTCTTTAACTTTTATAAAGAATATCTCTTTGGATTTGAGTCTTTAGTCTTTGCAACTTTACAGATCTTCTTTATGCACCAAGAGCTTGTAACACTCCAAAGAGAAAGGAAAAATTGAAATCGCATCATATGACCCCTTTAATGCTAAAAATAGACATTTAGTTAGTTAGTAAAAATGTAAAAACCAGTTACACTGAAGTGTCACAATAATAATATTTCTTATTTATTTAATATTTAACAATAATAATAATCATAATTACAACAATAATAAGATTGTTGTTGTTTTTATTAATATTATTATTATTATTGCAAAATTAATATTATAGTTGTTTTCTTAATAATTTTCTATTTGTTTAGTGTTTCTATATTATTATTATTATTATTATTTTACAGCATTAAATTATCTTCTTCTCGCATTTATTTGCAGTTGTACTGGTGAATCCAGATCTCAAAAAGAGATCGCAGCAATTCACCCAAGCACCTTATGAAGGATATGTTCAGTGCCCATGAGTGTGATCTTTTGCACTTCACTAGCTGACTTATTATTATTATTATTATTATATTATTATTATTATATAAAATTGCTCTTTTTTTTGGCCAAATTGTGCAGCCCTACAAGCAAAACAAAACAAAACAAAACACATTTTAAATCACATTTAAAAAAAAAAATACAATTACAATTATAATTTTTCCCAAATCAAAACAAAAAAAAAAAAGTCAAACTCAAACTATATTTATAAACAATTCCTGTCCAAATGTGTCACAGTGTCTGGTTGTGGTGCACTGGACTGGCCACTTCAGGGCACTCTCCCATTTCAGTGTTACATGTTTTGAACTCCATTTCCCATAGTCCCTTGCCTGTCGTTTCTGTTCTGATCATGATCACCTGTTAGTAATTTACTCATCATCCCATCACTATTTATACCATGCTCACTCTGTTTGTCTTTGCTGCAGTATTGTTTGAGGTTACATCGTGTTTTTTGTTCCCTATGTTTTTGGATTACCTTTTGCAACGTTTTTGTTCTGTTCTGTTTATTTGTACTTTAATAAACTGCACTTGGCTCTAACCTTGTTTTCTCCTGGCATTCCGTGACAGAATACTGAAGCCAGTACAAGATCCAGCAGTTTGTTTTGCTTTTGCTTTCATTTGGACAATGGACATTCGGATTACCCCTCCTGCCACAGGGAAGGAGCGAGTGGCTTGACACCGGGCTCTGAGGCAGCAGGGAATGGAGTTTGTAGGTTTTGCCCAGACCTTTTGGACGTTTTCAGTGGGGCTAAATTATAATGAGGCTGCACTTAAGAACTTCTTTAATGTCTGTTTGGATTATCCTTTGCCCCAGTGGGAAATGGCGGGACTCAGGATCCTGGATTTCTGGGGCTTCGTCAAGTATCTCCATAGTCGAAGTCAGTGGGCAATACCAGGCCAATCAGAACCCTTACGCAGGGATTTTCCCACCACCTCTACCCTTCAGACTCCCACTGAGCAGCGGAGGGCGAGAAGGAGGACAGTAGAGCCCGCTCACAGAGTCCACTCCAGAGCCCGCTCCAGTCCGGGAACTCACAAGGTTCACTCCTGAGCCCGCTCCAGTCCGGGAGCTCACAAGGTCCACTCCAGAGCCTGCTCCAGTTCAGGAGCTCTCAGAGCTCATTAAGGAAGTCACTTCAATCTGGGAGCTCACAGGGACCGTTGCGGAGCAATCGGCTTGTCCTGTTGCAGCCGTCGAGGCTGGTACTAAACTCTCTCTGCTCTTGTTTACAATTTTCCCTGATTTGCTGAGAGGGTTTTCTGTCCCACCAGTGTTGCCTGGCAGGATTCCGGCTCCGCTCTGGTTGCCCGCCTGGGTTCCGGTTTGGCAGGAGCCTCACTGGCTCACTCCTCCGGCTCCATCCTGGCTATCTGCTGGGGTTCCTGTATGGTTGGGGCCTTGCTGGTTCATCCATCCTGACATGATAACTGCACATGTTTCCTTGCAGGTAACCATAGTTAACAGAGGAAGAACAATAATTTCAAGCACCAGCCTCCTTTCAAAGCTTCCAGTCTGTTATTCTAACTCAATCAGCATGATCTCTAGCCTTTTCCTCGTCAGCACTCTCACCTGTGTTAATGAGAGAATCACTGACATGATGTCAGCTGGTCCTTTTGTGGCAAGGCTGAAATGCAGTGGAAATGTTTTTGGGATCAAGTTAATTTTAATGGCGAAGAGGGACTTTGCAATTATTCTGGTGGAGCGTCTGGTATCCACTCCGTAGAGGGGGGTAATGTCACAGTGTCTGGTTGTGGCGCCCTGGACTGGCCACTTCAGGGCGCTCTCCCGTTTCAGTGTTACAGGTTTTGAACTCCATTTCCCATAGTCCCTTGCCTGTCGTTTCTGTTCTGATCATGATCACCTGTTGGTAATTTACTCATCAACCCATCACTATTTATACCATGCTCACTCTGTCTGTCTTTGCTGCAGTATTGTTTGAGGTTACATCGTGTTTTCTGTTCCCTGTGTTTTTGGATTACCTTTTGCCACGTTTTTGTTCTGTTCTGTTTATTTGTACTTTAATAAACTGCACTTGGATCTAACCTTGTTTTCTCCTGGCATTCCGTGACAATGTCATCGGTTGATCCAAGGTCATAGTGATGTCTTGAACCCTGGTGGGGACAATTTGATTTGTTTTAATAAAGTATAAAGGAACAGAATAGTAAAGGAAATGCTCTAACCCCAAACATTTCTTGTCTCCTCACATTCAATTAGGAATTACATGAATTACACACAAATGATACCAAAACGGCCATATTTGGGAAAAAAGTCATAGCTGTCGGTCATTTAAAATTTCGTAAAACAGCTACTTCCATCGTACTCCACTCTCTTTCAACATTAAAACTGAAGCTTTGTGCTGGAAGTCATGCTCTGCTTGTGAACAGTAAACTCCACCTACTTTACTTTGAGCATCATTTTGACATTGCCAAGCATTGTTAGACCACTGATGCAGTCCCCCACAGGGTCTATGGTGGTTACAGTCCTGGGTTGATCCAATGTTGTTGTGACTGGATGCTCCAACAAACAGAGCAATAGTCTAAAAACAAAACCACAAGCATGTGCTCATGTATGTGTGTACCCACGTTCTTCAGGTGACACGTGAGGCAGAGCCTGTCCTCGGACCAGTCGACAAGTGGAACCATCTCCAGCACAAACGCCACAGTTGTCCTCTTTAGCGTTGCTTCCCAGTTGTCTGTCACAGCCAACTTCCTGTTGGAAAAAACAGACACATAACTCAGAAAAAGGCAAAATGGGAAACTTGACTTAGACTCCAAATTAGACCCATTATCCACAACAGTATTTTGAATTTAACACTTTCCTGATTCATCCCTCTAGCTGCAACATTATTTTGAGAGGCAACTGATTTTTCAGCAAACAGATCTGCAGGACCTCAACCAACAAATCATGCTTCCTCCATAACAGACTAGAAACTGACAATAAAACGACGTGGATTGAGAAACTGGCCAGCGCATGGCTCCAAACTACAATGTTTAAGCTCTACACTGCAAAAAATGCTTTTTTTACTTAGATTTTTTGTCTTGTTTGCAGCCAAAATACCTAGAAATTCTTAAATCAAGAAGGATTTTCTAGACAAGTAAAAATTGTCTTGTTTTCAGAAAAAAACATGTCAAAATTAAGTGAGTTTTTGCCTGAAACAAGTAAAATAATCTGCCAATGGGGTAAACAAAATAATCTTTTTTGTTTGAAATAGGATTATTTTGCTTAGCCCATTGGCAGATCATTTTGCTTGTTCTAAGCAAAAACTCACTTAATTTGGACTTGTTTTTTCTGAAAACAAGACAATAATGTGTACTTGTCTAGAAAATCCTTCTTGATTTAAGAAGTTTTAGATATTTTGGCTGAAAACAAGACAAAAAAACTAAGAAAAGCATTTTTTTGCAGTGTAACAAGCATCATAAAAATGAATGGAGAGCCAACATATAAAACATGCAAGAATACTGAATCATTTTTCATAAGTTTTCATCCCATACATGTTCCCCCCAGCATTCCTCTATATTTACCCAGAAATATGTGCTTCTGACAGTGATGCTCTGCTAGGAACCAGCCATCTGCACCAGAAAAGCTGCCCAGTTTTAATGCAAAATTCTGTTTACACTAGCGGGGCAATAGGGAAAGCAGCCAGAGAAAGCAAACAGCAAGATTTTACCCAGTAGCTCCGGTAAACAAGCACAAGTAAACAGACAAGCTTAATTTACACCAATTTACCTAATACTCACGGGGACTGAGGTCAAATTAGGTGCAACGCAAGAGAAGTTTCATCAACATTGTCGAATTCAGTTACCGTGCAGTACTGCATTGAATACTGATGACTGTATCTGATTTGGTTGGAGTATATTGTGTTTCTTTGCTGTGGGCCAAATGGAAAACAGAGAGTCTACGTCTACTGAAAACACTAAGAAAGTTCACCCAAGAATGAAAATTCTGTCATCATTTACGTACCATCTGTGTTTTTTTCAGCGGAACAGAAAAGCAAAGTTTAGCTGAATGTGCCAGAAGCTCTTGTCAACAAAATTAAAAAATACTTTTGAGCTCCACAAATGACCAAAACATCTCCATAAAAGTAAGATTTGTGCACTATATTCCAAGTCTTCCAAGCCATATGATATCATTGTGTAAGGAATAGACAAACACATATAAATTTACATTTAAATATTGCCCTTAAATCTTATTAAGACTTGTATATATTTAAATGTATACATCTTGTTCAGTTACGCAATATGCAAGAGCAAATGGAAGTCAAACCTGACAGAATGGCAGAACATTTCTTTTATGCACCATTTTTGAATATATTCAGAACCACAAAAGAGATTTGTAAAGAGTTTAAATGAATTATGAGTTGTTCCAGCCGGTCCACAAAAAGATAATGACTTCAGAGAACTTTGAATATTGTGCATAAGTCATATGGACTACTTTTTTGTCCTTTTTGGGGCTTAATAGCATTCATCCCCTTTCATCCTTCAGAATATTTCCTTTTGTGTTCTCTATTGGAAAAAAGAGCCATAAAACACATTTCTGTCTATTTTTGGTATTCAGTGCATCAATCATAGCCAAGAAACTTTAAAAACAATGCAAAGTTATTCAAGCTCTAAGTGCACTGGAAAGCTATTTGTAAAATGAATGCAAAATTAGTGCTAAATAAACTATTTTATGTATGCAAGTAATTATGTTAGTTTCCAAGCAATTGGAGACCCTGTTTTGGAAATCCTGTTTAACTTCCTAAACCAGAGCCATGGTCAAATGGAAACTCGATTCTTTGTCTTTCTGTCGATTCAGGCCTCTTTCTCGCTATTGCTCACACAAAGACACAGAACTGAGGTTAATCTGGCAGAATCGTGACCTAAATATACCCCAAATCCCCACATATGTAACACTAAAAAAGAGAGACAATTTTCCTGTTTATGGTCATTATTTCATTATCTTTCCATTTTAGCTGCAGGTTTTTTATATTTTCAGGAAATGAGAGCTGCGCTGTTAGAAATATCCAGAATGGAAAACCTGTTGGCGTCAGTACTACCAGTGGTGGACAGTAACGGAGTAGCTTTACTTCGTTACTGTACTTAAGTACATTTTTCAATATCTGTACTTTACTGGAGTAGTTTTATTTTGAGTAACTTTTACTTTTACTTCACTACATTCCAAAGCATAAGATCGTACTTTTTACTTCACTACATTTCATAAAACATATCGTTACTTATAATATATCACGTGCTCCGACACGCAGAACGAACTGATTATTTTCAATGAACCTTTTAAATCGGTTCGCAAATCGCACCAAACGTACTTTTTTACTTAAGTACATAAAAAAATCGAGTACTTTTGTACTTACACTCGAGTAAAATTGAAAAAGGAGTACTTTTACTTTTACTGGAGTAATATTTTATTATACGTATCTGTACTTTTACTCAAGTGCTTGATTTGTGTACTTCGTCCACCACTGAGTACTACCAAACAATAACATTAAGCCTTTGGACACGCAGTAAAAAAAGACTGATACTATGGCAGAAGCAGATGGTTTGGTAACTTCAGTGGATGGAGACTTGATCCATATATATTCGGGAAAAGAATTGGATAAAACTGTAAAGCTTATTCTCATTGTGCTAATATTACTGTAATGCATGTCAGAACAGGGCTGAAAAGGTCAAGAATTCTGCCTCGTAAATACTGAGTGGCTTTGGCTTCAGAAGAGCGTTTTTCACCTCATCAACAAGCCTAGACTGAACTTTAAAGGACAGATGTATAAACCTAAGCGCTGTAAATGCTCACTTAAGTAGGCTTATGTATAAATTTTTTTTTCAGATTTCAGTTTTTACTTTTGGTTTTCTGGGAGTTCTGCCATCTCGCACTGCGTTCAAGTGCACCTGGTAAGCTCCCACTTCCGTTAGACAGTCGTTTTTACAATATTTCACAAATCCAAGCCAGAAACAAAGTACAAAATCAGCCAAAACCAAGCAAATAAACAATGGACGATCTGAAAAAAGTTCTTCTTTCTCCCATACCAGTGGATAAGTATTACTACATGCATGTTTTATTTGATCAAAATTATAATTTTTACTTTATTACAATTATTTTATTATAATTATTTATTTTATTATAATACATATTTATTATTCTGATGTTTTATTATAATTATTTTATTACAATTATTTATCATAATAAATATTATTTATTATTTTAGTTTTATTATTCGGTTAAATGCTACTGTTAAATAAACCTACTGTTCAATTCTTACTGAATTTGTTCATGTAGTATGCAAACCTACCGTTTACTTCTTACTGCTGATCTTATTTTTAATATCAAAACAAAAAAATAAAATTAATTTATTGTGATACATATTATTATCATGAAATGAAATGACTCACACCATGAAATAAGATTTTGGTCATATCACCCACCCCCACACGTAAAAAATAAATAAATAAATAAATAAATAAAAGTTGTACATTTAAAAAAAATAAAATACATTTTAAAATCTCACGTTTAATTCACTGTGTTACTTGCCGTTTCTTTGTAACCGTTTGTGAAATTTACTACCAATATTTGAGTTTCAACACCACGTAAAACAAGTATAGAAAACAGCTAATGCTTGCTATAGTGCCTCTTATGGCAACTCTTATAATGTCATGGACTGATATTTCAAACTCAAAGGGTGCTTCACTATCAGCTTACGTAGCTTGTTCATTGATGTTCACCTGACAAATCCCACTGATGCATATATCCAGAGAATCCGCTTTGCACCGAGTGCCATCCAACACTTTGGGCGCCAGTTCCACCACCAGGCTTTTCCCCCGGGCTTGACATCGGAGGGCACAGGGTGAAATAGGGTCGTACGTCACAGGTATCCACTCGTAGGTTTGTCCTTGGTACTTGATGTCATTGTGGGCGGAGCATTGTTGAGCCCTGAAGTCACCTGACTCTGGAGGACAGTCCTGATTGGAAGAAAGATGGAGAAAGATTTGGCAACTATCAAATATTTTTAATATCATTAGGTAGATTTCTTACAAATTGCAGTCCATCACTGAATACAAATTACATGCTGGAAATAGTTAGTAACAATATATTACATTACATATTTTAGGTAAAATAATCAAACTACTTTTTGATTACATTTATATTACTTTTGACCCAATTTGTTTATCACATTGATTTGAACAGGATAATCCTGTACCATATTGATATAAAAACAAATAAATTATTTCATTTAAAATATTTGATTTAAAACACACTCTTTAAAATTTTAAATATAATAAATTATTTTAAAATAAAAACAAGTATAAAAACACTTAATAAAATCCACAAAACTGGAAGATTTCTCAAACATTTATATGAGGAATAGAAAGGAAAATTTTAACAAAGGACATTTTATAATGCAACAGAAGAATTAGGAGGAATTATGAATGTAATTTATTAATAATTGACTGTCATTTTGTGTATGTAGTCTGATTATGAGTAATTTAAAATGTTCTATAATCTAATAACAAGTGTTTAATTTTTGGAATCTGATTACATAATCTAATTATATATAATGAGTTACTACTCAGCACCATCTTTGCCTACAAAATAGAAACACTGATATTTAATAGGCCCAAAAATAACAGCTGACCTGACAATGGCACTGGAAATATTATTTTCTATGCGGCGAGATTAAATCGTGATCATGTGTGTAACATCATAAAGCTTATGCAGATGACTGGGTGCATTAACAAATGGTGACAGTGTAATTGAACTGTGGCAGGCCTCCATGTTTAGAAAAACAATATTTCCTATGTCATCTCCTGTGCACTAAAGAAAACTACAATTCTTCCTCTGCAGCTCGGGGCTCTGAACTCATTTAATCATCCGATCGGCTCTGAAGCCCCCATGTGCAAAGATCATCAGTGATGCCCGTGACTGAAGCGTCTCCATCGGATAGAGCGATTACAAATCACAAGTCTTCAACGTCAGGATCAGTAATGGAAACCAAAAGAACAATTCGACAATGGACCTCATCAATAGCAATTATAAAGCCTGACAGGGAAGACCGAGCATCAGTTCTCACTGTTTTGACGGAAATGGGATAAATGTTATGCTGGGAATCTTTCCCAGATGGCTCTGATTGGAATTGTGGATGAAGGAGGAATGGGATTCCAGATGAAACCACTTCAGTGGTAGAAAAACACTGGCTTTTGATTAAAATGGTCCTTGAGACACATGGGCATCTAACAGCTCTCAAAATGAGTTTGTCCTGTAGTTGGGGTCTATTGACTGAATCATAGGGCACCATTCTGGTTCCATAACAACGCCATTAACTTCTATTTTTATTTAATTTGAGCTGTTACACCAAGTAAATTGTGAGTCATTTGAACAATTAATCAAAGAATCAATTAAACAACTGGATATAAGAATTATTTGTTCACGAATCAGACTGCACTATTCATGCCTAATACAATAAAAGATCCAACTAATAAAAGATCCAACTGAAATAAAGGATTCATTCTCAAACCAGACATCACTAGAAGAAAATTCACTTAACTTGCATCAAAAAAAAAAAAAGAGTTTAAAAAAAGATCTGTTGATGGAATCAAACTCATGAAAATCATTTGGTTCCATGCCAGTTTTTTTTTTTCATTCAAACTGGTTGTAAGAACCAGTTTCTCATTCCCACCCTCAAAATGTACATGATATGAGGCAAAAATGCACATAAAAGAGAAAAACATCTTATAGAATTATTCCTATTTCATGCTACTTTCTTCTCCCCTAAAGGTACATGATGATGGTAAAAAAAAAAAAAAAGACATGGGAGAAAACATTATATTTCAATTCCTTTGCATTAACTCACAAAACTATTGCATTCCCCGAGAAACTTTGCATTTGCTTGCAAACCTTTTGTGATGGAAGATTATATCTCTATTATTAACGATTATATCTATTATTAGGGAATATAACGTTTCTCTGGGGAACACAATTATTTTTCAAGAGAACGCAAAGTTTCTTCAGGGAACCCAATACTTTTGCGAGAGAATGCAAATGTATTGAGAAAATGCAATGTTTCTCAGAGGAACACAATAGTTTTGGGAGATAATGCACATTTTGTGAGAGAAGATAAAGGTTCTCAGGGAAATGCAATCATTTGGTGAGAAAATGCAAATGTTTCGCAAGAGAACGAAAAGTTTCTTGAGGGAACGCAATACTTTTGCGAGAGAATGCAAATTTATTGCAAGAATGCAATGTTTCTCGGAGGAACGCAAATGTTTTGCGAGAGAACACAAAGTTTGCTGTGAGAACACTAACTTTTGTAAGCAGACTCAACAGTGTTCGGTGTTTCACAGTGTTCGCCAATATAAATTGCTTATTTTTGCCAAAATTACATAGTATTATACTAAAAAACTCCACCCGACATGTTATGCGGGCTACTGTATTCTGCATGCTATTTTGAAAAATAGTTTAAAATACACTGCATGGTATACAATATGTAGAATAAATAGTAAAATATTTTGTTAACACTTTAGTTTAGGGACCAATTTTCACTATTAACTAGTTGGTTATTAACATGCGTATTACTAGCATGTTGGCTGTTTATTAAAGGGGTCATATGACGCAATTTCATGTTTTTATTTGTCTTTGGAGTGTTACAAGCGGTTTGTGCATACAGTGGGTACGGAAAGTATTCAGACCCCCTTAAATTTTTCACTCTTTGTTATATTGCAGCCATTTGCTAAAATCATTTAAGTTATTTTTTTTTCCTCATTAATGTACACACAGCACCCCATATTGACAGAAAAACACAGAATTGTTGACATTTTTGCAGATTTATTAAAAAAGAAAAACTGAAATATCACATGGTCCTAAGTATTCAGACCCTTTGCTCAGTATTTAGTAGAAGCACCCTTTTGATCTAATACAGCCATGAGTCTTTTTGGGAAAGATGCAACAAGTTTTTCACACCTGGATTTGGGGATCCTCTGCCATTCCTCCTTGCAGATCCTCTCCAGTTCTGTCAGGTTGGATGGTAAACGTTGGTGGACAGCCATTTTTAGGTCTCTCCAGAGATGCTCAATTGGGTTTAAGTCAGGGCTCTGGCTGGGCCATTCAAGAACAGTCACAGAGTTGTTGTGAAGCCACTCCTTCGTTATTTTAGCTGTGTGCTTAGGGTCATTGTCTTGTTGGAAGGTAAACCTTCGGCCCAGTCTGAGGTCCTGAGCACTCTGGAAAAGGTTTTCGTCCAGGATATCCCTGTACTTGGCCGCATTCATCTTTCCCTCGATTGCAACCAGTCGTCCTGTCCCTGCAGCTGAAAAACACCCCC